TAGAACTTTGTGCGTACAATCAAAGTACAAGTACATGCACTACTATTTAGCAATTAAAAGCATTTTGCCAGCTGCTATTGCTTTAATTAGTTTCAAGCTCTTATTGCACAGTGACACATGCATTGGTAGAAATCTGTTACTCATTTAGCAAAGTTTAGTTTAATATAATGTCCGCAGAAGATAGACAACTATTTGAAGAAACCTTGTGATTTGTTCAGGAAAGAACCACTTAGGAATTGTTTAACATGAAAAATACAGAAAGTAAATTACAAGGAAAGAGTGTTATTGGACCAAACTGATTATCAGTTCTGTAAATTACAAGGAAAGAGTGTTATTGGACCAAACTGATTATCAGTTGTGTTACGGTAGAATCTATAGAAGGTGTCCCAGTGGCTGCTCTGCAATGCGAAGGAAAACCATTATAAGTTGGTAAAATCTGCAACTGTTTTGTGAAATAAACTTGAAGTGCCTCAGAAAGACAGGCGGCTGAGCACCGTAATGTCAAGAAAACTAATACTGAGTACAAATAAGCAGCTGAGTACCGTAAGTACCTTTATTTCATCTCCTCGGAGGCGCTTCATTTTTAAGTTCTGGGCAGGAATCTGAAAAGCAGGATAAAAATATAAATGTTATTTATATCCAAAATTTGAAAAGGGAATCCAAAACAAAGGCAAACCTTTTTACGTTCTTGTCTGATATTCTTCCGTTTGGGCTGCTTCAAATCCATCAAAAAATCATCAAAACTGAAGGGTGGAACAAAGAGATATCAGTAAATGTTGATATATCATAATCACATAATCAATAGCATGTAAGCTCATAAAATTTCCAAAAGTAGCAAATGAGCGCAATGGCATGATCATAAATCCCAAGGTAGAATGTTTATACTTTTAACATAGGGACTTGCATTTCTTGCATATAAGCTCTTACTTATCTACAATTATCTGCCGACATCAACTATTCCATTGGGATGGTCATGCAGATGTAAATCCAAACAGGGGGGAAACAAATGTCTGAGAAGATTGTATTACTAGCTTGTTCACCACACTGCCCAAATAAACTCCCAGATAAAATGAAAGAAAAGGTATATCAAGTTATCAACAATCTGGGATCTTGATATGTTAACAAGTGTGGAAGGTTGTTGAAAAGAAATTCCTGGAGGTTGCATTATTGTGATGAAAATTGTAGGTGCCCCTTGTTTGTGATGTAATCCTGTTTATATGTCTACCAGGCCGTGCTTATGACTAAATGTGGGCCCTGAGTCATAGCCTTATGTGGTCAGAAGAGCACTTTAAACCACTGCAATCCAGAAGTTCTATAAATCTCATGTTAACGTACCATTTGTAATTTCGGTTTGTCCAATGGTATTGCAGCCCAACTCTTTGCAACAATCCACTATCCTTCAACTTGCTAAATTCACCTTCAGATGGAAAAGTTATATGCAGTGATGACACATTCAACTGAAATGCAGCAGAAAACAAAAGATTGTCAATTCGTCCAGTGGATCGGAGGGTTTCCATCTATTTAAGAGTCACAGAAGCTATCAATGAAATAAAAAATGCATAGGCAAATTACATGCTATTATAACATTGTATACTCCAAAATCGAAATTAGCAAACACCATGAAGATTCAGCAGGTCTAAAGAGACTCTGACTATAAAACTCTCATTACTCTCATTCACTTATCGCTGTTAGACAATTCAATAAAAACAAAGCATTGATTTCGAAACATTAGCTGTAACAAGACAACAGAGCCTTCCAATTCAGTGAACTAAACCTGGTCGCCTGTTGTATTCATTGGAAATGACAACAAAATTAGAGTAAATGAAAAGACAACTGATTCATAAATTGATGAATAATGTTTCCTATTGAATATCAAAATGTCATATTGCCATTGCCATATGAAGCAAAGCACAACCATACAATAGCATTTTGTAACTTTTGCTACAATTATTCGCTAGCCAAGAGACTGTTAACAATATATTGCTAGAATTCTGACTTCACTACCTTGGTAGCCAAATTCTTCAAAGCTTTTACTAAAGCATCAAAAACTTGATCCCGGTAGGATGTATCCCGAAGTAATATTCTTTGACCAGTTACTGGAGTAAAAGGGACACAAGACTGCAACTTTGGATAGTATTCAAGTCCATAGCTGTGGTAAGCTTCAGCCCATGACTGATCGAATACAAACTCACCCCTAGAATGGCTGCAAATGCACATTGTGGTTGTTCAGCCAATGAACGAGATGAAGTGTACAGAAATTAGGGAAACGGTAGATGATATTGTGTTAATGATGTTAAACCTTTTAAGGTAAAGCGGAACAACACCTAAAATATTTTGGTTCTCGTCCCGTGCAACAACATGCAGAGGTAACCACCCTGTTTCCTGAAATCAGTACAGGACATGACAGTTTCAAGGATAGTCATAACAATTACTCCCTCCGTTCCTAAATATTTGTCTTTCTAGAGATTTCAACTAGTGACTACATACGGAGCAAAATGAGTGAATCTATACTCTAAAATATGTCTATATACATCTGTATGTGGTAGTCCATTTGAAACTCTAAAAAGACAAATATTTAGGAACGGAGGGAGTATAAATTGTAGGGCTCGTGCTTATTGGGATAGAACAAAAGTTAAAGATATTAGGTATTGAAATTTCTGAAAGTATATTAACACGAAAAAATGAACCATGAAATGAGTATAAAGTCTGATAGTGGGTGTACGGAATCAAGAAATGGTGCTTTATATGCTCACCTTCACTGCAGAACCTGATTCCTCTAAGCTTGAGAGAAATGCATGTGTAAGAAAAGGATTAAACTTTTCAGGCTCAACTGAATCAACTGCACATGCATCCCACTCTGCCGGAGGTATGTCCATAATAGAAGAGACAACAGAAATCGATACCTCACGTGGCTTCATGTCCACCTAAAATCAAGAAATGGTTAAGAAAGCCATGAATCAGGTGCATAAGTCCTGGAAAAAGAGTTGACTCAAGAAACACAAAAACACCTCTGAGGCTGACCCTGTGAGAGTGTACGATTCAGCAGAAGGGATCAATTCACGAGTTCTCGAATATCTATCTCCCTTGATCCACCCAAAAAGTGCAGTAACTTTTAACCGTGAAGCCGAGCTTGGGGAGCCCATGTTGGAAGGTGAATACTCCTGCTAATCATTGTGGATGAAATGAATAAGCAAAGGCTTGGGAACAGAATTTGGCACAAAATAAGAAGCATTACACAGGACAAGAATTACACAAATTCCAGAATGGATATCATTTGTAGACTGGGGCGAGGAAGTGAGTGCAAAGACGGATCGGAGTGTATACATGATTCATTTCTCTAATGTTTAATAGAACACCGTGTTCATAAGGGTGTAGATACTTAAATCGGAAACAGTCATCATATCAGTATTGGTTTTGTGTATATATAAAAATGTGACAGGAACAACTATCTAACTGCCAGTTCACAGGGCTTATTATCACACAAACCAAATCCTACCAACCTCAAGCCTACGTAATGGTCCTGTCCAGGAGCCAATCCAAGAGTAACCGATTCCCTTAAAAAGTTAATGACTCGCCAACGGTGCGGTAGTCAAACTCTGCTGGACTAGCTGGATCGCTGCAAGAGGTTTTGACATTCCACAGTCGAAGCACAGAATTCCGCCATCAAAGCGCAGAAATCAGGCCGAGACACCAGATCAGAACGCGCATATACGGGCCTAAACAATTTCGGCCGGCGGGCGCCACGAGAGCGATGGGAGTGGGCACTCACGTGACGGCGGGGACGGCGGCGAGGGGCGGAGGCGAGGACGGTGGGGGACGGGCGCCGCATCGCCACCGCCGGCGAGGCCATCGCTGCCTGCCTCCGACTACTCGGAGCTGAGCGGAGGCGTGGACAGTTTCGGGGGAGGGAGCGAGCAGTGGGTGTGGGTCACTGACACCTGGGCCCAGTACGCAGGGTTTCTGTAAGTATGGCTATGGCCGGGCATCGACCGGAGGACGGCCACATAGCGTGTCGTAAAATCTGTAGCCACGTGGCAAATTCCTGAACGATGAACCGCTGTGCTTCCCGTTTTATCTTCTCTTCGTTTTTCTCCTCTCAATTCCTTGTAAAGATTACTTTACAGTCCCTCTAAAGGTGACGTCAATCTAGGATTTCTTTTCCAAGGAAATTATGGAGGCGACGTCAATTAATGGAGCGACGAGGGAAAAATGTATGTGCCTAAAGAAAAAAGAGTTGTGCGGTTTTGAGATATCATGTATTTTAAACAAGGCCCTACGGGCAAACAAGTTTGGCGTCTTAACGAGAAACCCGTTTTTGTAGGTCAGAGTTCTACGCCCAATATTTTTCAGATGGTAAATTTTGATGCAACCTTGACAAAAGGGTTCATCTTATGTTACTCTTTGGCAAATATGATTTGGAATTCAGACTTTCAAGAAAGTCTGCATATGGATTGTGGAGGGTAGAATATGAGTCTATTATATGGAATGATCATTGGATCCTCTCCAGCGATTCGAGGAAAAGTCATGGCTAGAGGAGCCACGTGGCAAATTCCTGAACCATGAACCGTTGTGCTTCCCGTTTTATCTTCTCTTTTTTTCCTCTCAATTCCTTTTGTAAAGATTACTTTACAGTCTAAGGGTGACGTCAATCTAGGATTTTTCTTTTGCAAGGAAATTACAGAGGAGATGTCACGACATTGGTGGAGTGACGAGGAAAACCAAAAGCATATACATTGGTTTGCCTACTGAAAAGTGTATGTGCCTATGCGGTTTTGAGATATTGTGGACTTTAACAGGACCCTACTGAGGAAACAAGTTTGGCGTCTTATCGAGAATAACCTATTTTTTATTGTAAAAAAAAGAGAATAACCCATTTTTATAGGTCAGAGTTCTACGCCCTAAATATTTCCAGATGGTAAATTTTGATGCAACCTTGACAAACAGTTCATTTTATGTTTGGCACAACATATGATATGAAATTCAAACCTTCAAAAAAGGCTGCATATGGATTATGGAAGGTAGAAGATAGCGAAAATATACATATATGGAATGATCCTTGGATCCCCTCGAGCAATTCAAAGAAAAGTCATGGCGAAAATATACTCACCAAAGCCCACGAACTGATTTACCCTTACACTAGAAGGTGGGATAGAGGAAAGAAAAGAAGCGAGAGGAGACTCCGTAGAAAATATCAATTATCACGACGTTGGATTTTGTGAACGGCGCAGCAATAACTGTCGCCAACGATCTTTGGTCCCCTCGCCTCCGGCTGCCATCTTGGTGCTGCGAGCTGGGGGGACTTCGCATCTTAAAGATTTTTATGTTCCTCTTCAACGTCTAGTGATCTTTGTATTTTATGAGAATAAAAGTACTATCATTCTTTTGGCGGTGCTATGAGGTTAGAGAGTTTTCTGTGCTCGCACATCCGATTATTCGGATCTGATGAGTTTATGTTGGCGTGTCAAGCTTTTTTTAGTTTGTTTGACTAGAACAATGCCCATGCGTTGTAACGGGATATAAATATTCTAATACGTAGCTTGTGATTTACCTGTCAATAATAATGTGATTGTGTAAATAAATGTTCATCAAATTCTGACCGTGAATTACCTTATATTTTGATTAGAAATTTGGTAAGTAAATTAAAGGGAAATTAGTTCAGAAGGTAAGTAAATTAAGGTGGTTAATTATCATATACATGGAAGGTTGGACGAAGGGGTGGTGAAAAGAAAGGTAAAATGAGAACCTTACGCTCTTTTTAAGTAGTAGAGATAGAGATTCTTTGTGGAGGTGGAATCTTTTATCGACACCATGGTGAAGATATCGTGATTCGATGGCCCGCACTTCTAAATGATCATCCCCGGCCCACGTACGTTCATGATCAAGGTTTCTCATCTTTTTGGATGGGCGGCTCAAGGCGCTTTCAAAAACATTATTGGTAATGTCCGTGCGAGTGAAAGAGGGACAACATCGTTGTCCCGGTCCAATTGCATCCACTTTATCGAGTCTTTGGAGTATTTCTTTTAGCAGAGATTGATACCGCGAAGAAAATGTTTTCAAGAGATTTCATTATAATCCTTAGTTTTAGGAGTTACTTTATATTTTCTGGATTTTAGATCTAAATCAGCGTACGTGTAACTGTTATGAGTATGAATAAAATTACAGGTATTTCTAAGGAAAAACTAGAAGGTAGGATAAAAATAGTCCGTGGCAACTTCTGGGAAGTAGATGTGAGAATAATCCTTCCGATCTTACTATCGAAAGGAGAGATGTATGATTTCCTAGCGTGACAATATACCAAAATAATAAACTTCTTTGTTCATTCAGCATGATGAGAAACTGATGAGGACATGGCTACCTTGGATAAGACCAAAAATGTTATATACATGCATATTTGTCAGGTGATTTTTAGTACAAACTATTCAATAATCTATTTATGTTATCCAGAACAAAAATACTTCACACACTTTTGTGTTTTGTCTAATTACAGGTGTATGGGCATTTGTACAATCCACGTATGAAGATAAGGCAAAAGGAGAAGTTTGTGTTCTGTTCAAAAAGTCCTTTCACGTTACTTTTGGGTCAAGAAAAGATAGAGTCCAAGTTTCTCACGTTTTGGATTCAGATTCGGACTGCACAGACATACCTGACTCAAAACGCCAACAACTTTTTCATACGGACTTTGAATTGGGTGATTCTATTTTTGTTGGAAAGTAGATTTCGTGCTCTTTCCAACCCAGTTGGATTCACCTTCAAATTCGTCCGGAGCATTGAGATATCGACGAAACAATCTGACGCTGCAGCAGAATTCGAGTCAAACAACAAGTCCAAAGGTGTTGCATCACCTCCACTTGGGCACGTTACGACCTAGAGTTGGTTTTAGGCTGCCTTGGGACGTTCTCCCACCTCCTTGGCCGCCACCCCTTGCTCCTATATAAGTAGATCCATCTAGTAGCTTTTTCCTTGGGATTTATTTAGTTAAAAGTTAGCCATTGCAACTTCGTGTACTTCGTTTGTGTCCAACGACCAGACCAAGACCGCTTACGGATCCCCACCTTTATCAATACTTCATATATACTCGCAATATTCAGATTACTTTTATCATATTTTTGCTTGTTCTTCGATTGCTTGCAGGAATAGACCTTCGTGGTCAGGTTGATTGTGCTCCGGCGTGGTCAATAACCTCTTGGAGTTGGTTTAGCGATTGCTAAGGCGCAACGTCGTGCACGTTTGTAGTCGAATCATCAAAGTCATCTTCACCAAATCGATAGTTATCATCTCATCGAAAGATCGGGGCACCCCCGCCTCTAGCAAGTGGTATCAGTTTTTAGGTTGCTCGGTGAGATTTTACAGTTTTTCATAGTTTTGATCGCATTTGTCCTTCATACCTATTATCCAAGAAAATGCCACAAAAAAAGTTAGATCTATTCATCCTTTGTACAAGCTAGTCTGAGCCTTTACAATTTTCTTTTCATTGCTTCCATAGTTAAATTATCGGTTGCATCATCGTGTCGAGTTGCTGGTCTTAGTGTCTAGTTCCTTTAGAGTTTTGAGTTCTGATCATATTAGTCTCGCTGCCGCTACATCATTATCCCTTCCGCTGTCCACCATCTCATCCATCAATTTCCACCACGTGCTACGCACTGTTCATTGTCATAATCATAGTTGAGGTCATTCACATCTTCGTCTGATCCAATCTACGTCTTATCTAGTTTGTCTTGGAAAGAAGGAGAAAAAAAAGAGAAAAAAAGGAAAGAAAAAAAGGAAAGAAAAAAAGTTAGAGAAAAAAAGAAGAGAAAGAAAAAAAGTGTGAGAAAAAAAAGAAGAAAAAAAGAAGAAAAAAAACAAAATTCGGATCTATCTAGACTCAATCTCGTAGTTCAATTCAGATTGGAATCTATTATGTGCACTGTTCAGTAAAACAGACATAACTTCCTCATACGAAGTCCGTTTTGGCTTCGCAAGTACTCAAATTAAAGTTAGCGATGAGCCGCATCTAAATATTTGCAGAAGCTTGTTCAATATTTGGCACCTCAAAATTGGCTTCTAAATAGGTCTTTTTGTCCTCCGAAGTTCGCGAACACAATTTGTTCTGGTTTTAGAATTTTTTGACTTCTCATATCAATTCGGAATTGAGTGATTATTTTTGCATTGGAAATCTTGAGTTGGTAGCAAATTTTTCAAGAGGAAAGTTGAAGAGAGAGAGTTGTTATATATCCTGCTTGGCAGTTGTTTTTCATCATTATATTTACTGCCGTTGTGATCTTCACTTATATTTTGCTGTCCAGAGCTACTTATCCTTCATTGATGCTAGTTGTGCTACGTCGTGACCTCATCAGTGTTCTAGGCCCGCGTCTCTAGTCTGGTCTAGCCTAAGACCAGCACAGTACCGTCGTTGAGCGTTTATTCAACATTGCATCTCTGAATTGATTATTGCTAACTTTTTGCTACAAAATATTTAAGCCTTTCAAGCTCCACATATTTCTACACCGTGTATATGTACGTTCTCCTGGCAATCACTTTACTCAATCTTCAGAGTTACTTGACACCGCTGGTTGCCGATCACCGCCTGCTGCATGGTAAGAACTTGTAAGACATTGATATTTGCTTTACTGTGAGCGTTTTACCACCACATCCTAGTAGTTACAGGAACATTATTTTTGGATTTTGTTTCTTGTTTCTACTAATCATGACAGGATCCAAAGTCAATTCATGGGCTTTGTCGATCGCGGGAGACATGCCACCACCTATGCAAATACCACAACCGTCACGAGAGGTGCACAAACATCGAAATGCACATGATCAGGTTCATGTTTCTATACCACCATTTAATGGTCGTTTTAGACCTGCTTT